ATCTCGACTATCCTTGTCATGCATGCAGATTAAGCATATTTGGGTACGGTACTTCTTTCAAGGTGACACCGGGTATTGACTTGACCGGTCCATACACCTCCCACGCCATATCTCACTCGTGTGCTCTCAAGCTAGGCAGCCTGACTACATAATGTCTGTCCTTGGCGAAGCTTTTACTAGCAAACACCTCACGCTGCAACCTTTATATGGTTTCGAGATGGAAGTTCACTGCTCGGCTCCACCATGCTCCATCCAGACCATCTATAATTCTCGAGCCTTGGTGAAGGCGGTCTCCAGTAATCACTGCCTCGCCGCGTACTATGTTGAGTGTGCTCTGCGCATCATGCTCGATGTCGATGGTACTGGTAGCAGATCTGACTCAGCTTCCATATGCTTTTGCTTAGGAGGCCGCGCACCCCATGGAGGTGTTAAGGCTGTGCCCCAACGGCAAAATCAATGCGTTCGAACGGTTATTTGCCGAAACCGACATGATCATGCTACCTCTTCCTCGGGATTGACGGTTTTCTTCAGAGCCGTGACGACGACATGGTTAGCATTACGACACGCAATCAAGCACCTCTCAACCATGTTATTGTATAGCATAATATCGGCTCCAGGTAATTGACCCTTGAACCAGATATTGGTGACTTCGTCTCGCGTAGGAAGGTAAGCAATGCAGCAGGCCGCGTAGATCTTGTGGTAGTCGACAACGGCTGGGTCGAGGACGATGGACGGTGGACTTGTTGCGTCTTTGGCGACCAGCGCTGCGACGCCTCCGGCCACGGTGTCGACGCAGTCGATACCGGCATCCGCAATAGCAGCCGAGGCCACGGTGATGCAACCGCTGAGCACATTCATCGTATCCCAGCCATCGTCGCGTTGGTTCTCAGCCGTGTTGCGATCTTGATCGCCCTCTACTATCGTGACGACAATATCGACGCCGCTCTTGGGCCAGCGGTCCGCGATGATAGCCCCTCGTAGTGCGGTCTCCAAGTGTACGCCAAGATCCCTCTCGCTCGAATCCCGCAGGTAGCCGCGGCGTTGTTTTGTCGCAAACGGGGCATATTTGACGTGAGTTGTCAGGATGATGTGTGGGGAGAAGGGCGCGGATCGTGGAAGAGCTCGTGGGCCGTGGACAGTGCAGCTTAACTTGAGGCTCGTGTTGCTAGGGCTAGTCGAATTGGGGTTCACAAGCTCTAGGTAGGCGGATCCTGAAGCGGACGGGGTGACACCTGTTTGCAAAACTACGCATGGAAGTTTAGCGAGTGAACGGATGAATAAGGCAACCTCGCTGTGGCGCTTGCTACATACAAATCTTGCGGATGGCATTTTCGGGCTTCTCTGCGCTGTTCCGAGGTGGTGGAGGACTGTCGTAGACTGGAGGCAGAGTAGTTCCTACGGGGCCATTGATTCTCCTCCGGTCAGCCATGGCGGCCTAAGTGTAGGTTTTCGTTTTTTTTGGCGTGACTACCTAGGCCAATTTGAATCGCGTGGACCAGTAGGTAGCTTTTGCTTGGTGTTGAAGGCAGAAATACGGAATACTGCATATGAATATCGGAGCCCACCCATCTACCTACGTACCTAACATTAGGTGGTGCCTTATCGATTGCCCCGCCAGCACCAATCTAGGTCCCACTATCTAACCAGATCCAACTAGGGGGCCAGCCTTTTCCTTTAAATTTCATTCAACCAAAATTTCCATCTTCATTCTTCAGGTTCTTTCCACACTTCCACCACCGTGCCTTGTGCCGAAGTATCAAACCCAAACAACTCAAGAGAACCACCCCAAGGTCGGCAGCATTGGAAAAGGGTTTGATTGACTAGTATATTGTCTCGTTGATTTGACAGTGGGACCTTTTACTTCAGACAGAGCCTGCGGAATCCTGTTTTTGAGGTAAATGCAGTAGAGGTAAGAAACCACGCCCATTATCCCGTCAAATAGCCTCATCTTTTACCCTACTATCCCATCGCTATTGATGAAATCGTTTCCACAGTTCTCGCGATCACCTGAGCGTACTGAACTAAACATGCACTACCATCTGAAGCACCATCCAGCCTACGTGTTGCTGAAGTCAATATTCTAGGCCACCAGCTGACCATGACATTAGTAATATAGCGTGTACATTGGACTCTTAGATCCTTCTTCTCTTCCGAGACAATATTAGTTGGTAAGTTATCATAAGAATCCCGATCTCGCCCTCTTTCCGTCGTCTTTTTATGATGAGACCTACATCATTCAGTTCTGCTTCTGAACCTAATGAAGATACCCCATATACCAAAAATTTACTCTGATTCAACGACTGTTACCTAATACACCTTGAAAGCTTTTGCAACGGGACAAGTAACTGACCGTCGCTTAGATTTAGGACATGATTGTATGACATTTTGAATATTTGTACCTCGCACTGACGCGCAATGGGTAAGTCATCTTCCATTCTGTCTACATTTTCTATCATGATGAAAACTGTTTATCCATTCAACTATCTCACAATGGGTCGAGCCACCCTCCCACACCGGAGTTGGCCGAAGGGTCAATGATGATTGGTTGTGGAGTTTCTATCTCACTGCTCGTGCTTCGTGCTAGAGTGGTTGGCAGTGTCATGCTGGCTTCCGTGTTTTCCATGTTCATGTCTCGTCTTGAGGTGTGGGGTGGAGAGCCGACACATGTGAATGAGTAAACCGGGTTGCTGAATTAAAGCTATCACACCATGTTCCGAGCCGAGCAGGTATAAGACATAGCTAACCTATCTTGATATCAGGCCTCCTTTGAGTAACCATGACCGTTTTAGAAACTAGTAGCTATTTAAGATAATATTGTAAGGGTAGATAGACACTTGATTTCGTGACCACTAGTAGAGATGTTGTAGAAATTTTCATCATGTCTTGTGGTTCTTGTAGAATTGTCCTACTGATCTAGTGTCTATGAAATAGATACAACGGTGTATTTATAACCCTTTTACGATTTTCTGTGCATAACTCCAGCGGCAGCTTGGTGGTTGGGGAATATTAATGTGTCAGCAATCACAACGTTCTCTTTCCTCCCGGCGACAAATACAACAACCTCGGCGATGTCATCGGGAGTCAAAGGGTCAACGCCACTGGAAGCGTCGTCAGTGAGATGCCAACCTAATATGTGGACGAATAAAAACTCACGCATATACGGCATCAGCCTTCGCTTTATCACCATTAAATCGAACAACAGAGAATTCCTATGTCAACATTAGCATGTAGTCCTGATCTAAGCAAATTCAATCATTTCCAGGAAGAACAATGCCAAGGCTGAATCCAGCACCTACCGTCTCAACTTGGCCAGGGTCGATCTCCAACACACGGACGCGCGAGGCAATGAGCTCCTGGCGCAGGGCATCCGTAAAGCTGCGCACGGCGGCCTTGGTGGCACAGTAGATGCTGCCGCCGGCGTAAGGCTCGCGGCCGGCAATGCTGCCTATGTTGATGATGTCGCCGCTGCCGCCGTTGGGACGGCGCAGGAAGATGGGCAGGATCGCCTGCGTCATGTTGATCAGGCCCGTCACGTTGGTGTTAAACATGGTGTTCACGTCATCCTCGGCGATCTCGGGCGCCCTGGCCACGCCCTTGACGAGACCGCTAGTTATTGCGTCCTCACGTTAGTCATTATTCTTCATTCATATCGCATCTTTTGCCTGTACTGTACGTAATGCTTCTCTTTCTATAAGGTACAACACCAACGATGTAAGGTAGATAAGAAAAAGGAGACCGACCACCAGAAGAAGAAAATTGGAGAGTCAACTCACGCATTATTCACAAGGACATCGACCTCCTTGAACTCCTCGGGGAGCTTCTCCACGAAGCCGCGGACCTCGTCGGGCCTGCTGACGTCGAGCTGGACGGGGAGGATCTTGACGTTGCCCTCGCCGACCTCGGCTTCGATGTCGGCGGCGACCTGCCGCAGGGCGTCGACGCGGCGCGCCGTGAGGACGAGCCTGAGACCCCCCGCGACGCCGGCGGCCGTCCGCGCGAACTCGAACGCCGTGCTGCGCCCGATCCCCGACGACGCGCCCGTGATCACCACCGTCTTGCCCGCGAGGCGCTTCGCGACTGCTGCCGTGGCCATGGTGGCGCGATATACGATTCCGGGCGTCGTATTTGGGAAAATCTTCTTCCGGAGGAGTGGGAGAGAAGATACGGATCCCGGTACTGCTGCTGCTGGTCTGTATATGAGTGTGCGTAGCGTGCGATGGATTGAGGAGGTTGTCGTGCGATGGAGGGGCATATATAGGACGGGGTGAAAGAATGGATAATAACGGATTCTCTAGGTACCTTATACAACAAGCCCTGACTCACGGCGGGGCAATGGGATGTGATAGATAAGGAAAAAATACGACCTAGTAACTAGTAGTAGGTAGGTAGGTAGGTTACAGTGGACGCAAAGTGCTTAAACGAGGCTGATATGGTGGTACCTGCATTTGATATCGGAACAAAAGATGATGAAAGTGTACGATTTCGCCATCGATCGCGCGGAGGTGGGATGGATGGATATCCGAACCCCGCCAGACGTTTTCCGCTCGCCCCGCCGGGTTACTAAACACCGAGCTTCTCCGGGGTCAGTCACTCGTGAACGAACCTACGATATATATCAGTGTGTTTTTGCGGTCAGATATCGGCTCCTGGAGTGTATAAGTAGTAACAATAATGACTTTCAAAACCTAACTAGCTGGGTAGCTTTTGATGAGGTATGCGTTATAGGCTATACAATGATCTCTTAACAACAGAACATTACTACCCCAATGGGTCCTATTTCCCGTTCTCTTAATATGGACGAAAACTAACTCCTTGTTGTATGACATCAGCTTTCCTCATCCTTAGTAATGGGACTGCGACATGAGGTAGAGTAGACAACCGTGTTACGTCTTTGGAGTTTTGTGTTGTCAGGTTTCACTACGCTAGGGAAAACTTTGAATTCTATAGACTGACTTTAATGGTCGCAGCTTCCAACCAGCTACCTGGATACCAGTACCAGAGCTGATGTAGTGTAGTGGTTAGCACGTGGGATTTTGACCAGAGGTCTTCGAGACATTCATCAACTTCCTGAGTCCCCGGTTCGAACCCGGGCAACAGCTTTTTGACCTTGCCATTTTTCATGTTGGGCTCCCTTTTTTGCTTCGTGTCTCGGGAACTTGGTCCTACCTGGGGTTGCGCGATACGTATTTTCTGAGGCTCCCGCCTCGCCGTCTCCGCACCGCCAAAGGCCGAAGGAGAATATTGATTAAATGGTGTTAAAATATAATGTCCGATGATATTTAAAGCATCTCTCATTTATAGCTTTCTTCTAATAAGAATTAAACAACGGGTTAAAAAGGAATAGTGTGAAAAGGAACCTAGCTACAATGTATGATGGGGTGTTATGACAGGAGTGGCATATAGGACTCCTTACACCATAATCCTTCAAATTTCTTGCAGTGGTATTTAAACCAAAATATAAGTCTCGTTGAATGCGTAAGTGTTATATTAATCTGTTATTAATCTTCAGATGACAACGTTTATATACCTGCATCTAGTTTCCCTTTATTCCTCTAACCAGCTAACATGACCGCTTGAGGCTCTAGTCCTGTATAGCTCATTTCTCGTCGCTTTACTGGAATGCTTCAACTCCTCGACGCTGAATCAAAAGTATCTCCAAAAAGAACAATACGCCCATAACACCTACATCATTGTGAAAAGCGGACAGCAGAATAGTTCCCAGTAAGATTGGTTGCTTTGGTGTAGATGGCGGGGATGTTAGTGCTCTTGGGTATAGGAGACGTCGTTTACATGACGTGTCGTGTATAGACGCTTAGGCATCAGGGTCACGGTCGTGATCCGGATCGTAAGTGTTGGGGCCATTCTAACCTTAATGCAATATTCCTTCGCCCTAGCAGGGATCAACAATGCCTGACGTATTGTTGTATCCCGGGGAATGACTTTGCCCGCTATTGCCTAGTGTTCGTAGGCGTCTCGTGTTATTATAGGTTGTATGTGTTTCCAGGCATCTGTTTCTCTGTATCAACCTTCTAGATGGATTTGTGGCTGTTGCGAAAGGTAGTGATCGTGTAGGCTGGCCCGAGATCTGATCTGTTGTAACTACCCTTCAAACCAGCTCTTTGCAGCAGTTATCGCAATATCGTACTCGAACGCAACAGAGTCCTTCGGACCTAGCGGCAAGGGTTTATCCCAAGCATGTTTCTCGCCCTCGACCACACGGATGCTGACCCTCTTGCCGCATTTCTCGAGTCTCTCCCCAAACAGCTGGCCTTCAGCAAGGAGCATGTCGTATTCGCAGAGACACAAGTGGATGGGTGGTAGTCGGTCTACCAGCTCATCAGGCATTAACCCCGGCGACAAGCGGATGTCGGTTCGTTCACGCCGTGGAAGATGGGGGTGCAAATACGACGCGTCGATCAGATCTGTCAACCCGCTGGGCAGAGTCAGATCTGGTTGTTTGCAAGCGGCTCGTTTCTGAAATCGGTCTAACGTCCAATCGAGCGGGGGGTAGTAGAGGATAAGACCTGCGATCTTGGGTATCGGTGACGGTATTTCGTAGTTCCACCTCGCGGGGTCTTGTAAAACGATCCAACTACTCGTAGCCAGAGTTCCGCCGGCGGAGAAGCCGGAGAGTATGATGCGATCCGTGTCGATGTTGTAGCGGTCCGCGAGCCGACATATCTGGACAATGGCGTCGGTGCAGTCCTCTACCGGTGTCGGGAATGGATAACTCGGCGCGAGACGGTAGTTGACCGAGAAGACTACGGCGCCCAGCCCTTTCACGAGTGCATCCGCCCATCGCGAGTCATCGGTTCCACGGCCTAGGATAAACCCGCCGCCGTGGAAATTGATCACCGCTGGTCTTTTCTCAGTGCCTGATGGCCGTGAGCTATCGGGCGGTACCCAAACATTTACGCTAATCTCATCCTTGCCTTTCCACTCACTCAGTGTGGAATCTAGCCAAATTGTTTCCGTAGGAGGCGGTGCAGATAGACCTGAACGGTTACCAAGATTGAAACCAAAGCCAGCCAGAAAACGCAGTGTATACGCGTGCGCGCCTAGAAGCCAACGGGGACTCTTGTTTGCAGGGTTCACGTAGTCTGCCTCCACGGGTGGTGGTCCTATGTCGTGGATGGAGACTTCTGGTGTATTTTTATTATCGGTAGACATGTTGTTTGTATGCAATCTTCGGTGCGTCTCATTGGCAACGCGACCAGCGATTGTGTTGAGATCTTGTCCTGAACTTAATCTCAAGGGAAGGTGATGGGATCAAGAGACAACCCTGAGACAATGACGTCGTATCTCGTCTACGTAGCACTAGTAGACCCTTGTAGCCCTGGAAGCTTGAATAAGGCAAGAGTTGCGCACTTCGCCTCGAAATGGTTGGCGAATCATATCGCTTCGTTGCGACCTTAGCGCTACGGATTATGGACAAGGATTTCAGCTATTGCAACCTGTACACGTAGGTACTCATTCATGGTAAATCAGAATGCCCAGATAGAGTTTGAATCCTGCAGATAAAAATTGAAGAGCATTATCATAAGGTATGAACCTAGGCAGAGGCTTAAGGATCTCCACATAAGCTTTACAGTACCTGCCTACAGTATCTAGGTAGTTACAGTTCTTCACGGTCTAAGAAACGGGACTTCCCGCCACGTCATGGCCCCGATGCTTTTCTGCTGTGATACAAGCCCAAACGAGCTATGTACCACGTGCAGCGAACTCAACTGATTCACTGTTTTCATACAATAAGGAGTGACGAGCATTGGCATATTCAAACATTGTTATCACTTTTAAGACAATTCTGGTCAATGTTTCAGTTAAACAATGTCCTACGACCTAGCGCTATACAGCTCATCGCTACATGCCTGCCCATTCTAGACAGAAAGTCCGAACCGGTGGCGCCACTGGCTCACCACTTGGTTTCGCCTTCCCGTTCTCTCCATCACGCGATACATGACCGTCGCCAGACTTTTGAATGTCCGATGCGTCAGCCACAGCTCCACCGAAAAGATATCCCTTCTTGACAGTAGTGGCAAGTCGCCCGCCTCCAACAAGATCCATCATTGTGATTTCTTCATCCCATCCGAAGTGGACGCCAGCAAAGTGACTGTGAAAGCGCAGAGGGTCGCCCGGGTACACGTTATAGTCGCAGCCAAAGCGAAGACCAGGCATCATATAATATCCCTTATCGTGCAAGTGAGCAAACAAGGGATAGGACACGGGCACGTCTACAGCAACCGAGGGCTCTGGTTTTGAGCTTGATGGGGACTGTAAGAGATAACTGCTAGTAGTGGGTGTGAGCACATAACCCTCAACCTCTTCAGGTAATTTCTTGGTCGGTTTGCGTGATGTGGATGTTGAGTCATCAAAGATACTAATGTTCTCATCTGGCTCGGCGTCATCACCGAGAAGCTTATTGGTAGTTGAGTCTTGTGGTTCCTTCTTTTTCTTCCTTTTGGATTTCCCTTCTTGTAAGATTGGTTTATTGCGATTGTTGCTCTCGATCATGGCCATCTGCATCTTCTTACCCTGATTCTTAAGTGACTGTAGGTATGCCCGTCGTGATGACTCGTCGAACGCCGCCAGTCGCGCTGGATGGAAGGTTGCATCGTCAGCGACGTAGGCTGCATTTTTCTCGACCAAAACTTGTACTTCTTCGGGCATAAGCTCCAAGGGGAGTCCCATGAAAACGTTCTGTTGAGGGTTTTGGGGGATGGTCCCTACGAATACGGAGCAAATGTTGTAGTTCCTGCGTAAGTACATCACATCGTCTATGTCGAAAAGCAAATATCTCCCGGCAAGCTTTGATATCCTCACCAGAGGGCGATCACGGGATGACGTGGAGGCCATGATCACATTAGCAACCACGCTGTCTAAGAAAGAGTTAGTTGATGAACTTTTCCGTGCTTGCGAGTGGTTAAGCAGATAGGTGTACGATCATAAATAACCAGATAGAGATGTTATCAACAGAATTTTGTTCAGTGGATTGACAGATAGTAATTGGGTATAATCATGGTAGAGAGAGAGGGGGCAAAAGAGTAATATTCTGTTAACTCACCTGTTGTTGTGGTTTTGAATGTTGGTAGGAAATTTGGCTCGGCTTAGATTTGAAGAAAAGTTTTGGGGACGTGTGGTGGGGACCTAGGTGGATCTCTTCCAATTTGGCATATATGCCTAAGCATGCAATCATCCGCTTTATGCGACTATTAAGGTATGTTATTTGATGTAGGTGGACCCGACCCGATCCGACCCCAGAGCCCCGGGTCTCATCCAAGCACGTTCGTGGTCCACGGTCAGAAGTGATGAAAAGCAAAATTTGCTCTATCGAACCCCTCAGTAAAGCAGTGTTTCAACAGAAAGCTTGATGTAGACCTAGAAATCCATACTTGGCTTTCCGGCATCTCCTGCTTTAGGTTCGCTCTCATCGCTGTCGGCCGGCGGGAGGTAGAAAGGCTTGATTATCAGTCCTCTTGACCGACTAAGACTGAAAGATTGATCGTCCAGTGCTGAGTGTGACCCGCCTCCTTTCTCATGGAAGATCGGTAGACTGTGGACTTTAACCAGCCCTTGAACCTTCTCATCGTCCTTTCCGTCGCCCTTCGAAGATGGTGGAGGTTTATGGATTGTTGTGGATTGCAGCGGTATGAACTCGAGCACACCATCGCACAGCAATTCAATCCATCGTGTGAGCCCTGTCGTCCGGGGATAAAGGGAGAGAGGTAGGGTTAGAATAGCGGTCAAAACCTTGGGATACTGCCTCAACAAAGCCCGTAGGGCGTGCAGAAACTGTAGTACTTCCTGGGGAAGGGAAGACGAGCTCGAGTACATGGTCGGGGACAAGAGGTTGGGGACTATCACACGATGAACGTATGACGGTGGTGAATTCGCCAACTTCGATGCCAGGTCCTGTATGAAAAGTTTGAATGGAGAGGTCGGTTGGGTTCTTGGAATAGGGACAGCTATGGATTGGTGGAAGCCAATCTGGCCCTTCACGTCGCCAGGGGATAACCTTTTCGTCAGATCAAACGAATGGCAGAAGGTCGTAGTAGCGCCGACATTAGACGCACCCCGAGCTCGCTGTGCTTCTCTATCTAAG